TGCCTCTCTAGTGCATGAAGGTGGCTGGTTGTACTGCGAACCTACCATGTGATTAGACAAAGTGTCTGACTCATCCGACTAGACGTAGCCTCTGAACTAGACTGCATGCCAAATGTCTGCTGACCCTGTGTTATAGCAGCAGAGGTCGCCACTGCTCCAACAATGATGTCCGCCGCTGCCTGGACCTTCTCCGCTATTGCTGCCTCCCTAGCCCTCTGCAAACGTTGAGTATCAGCCTCACGTCTTATAGCTCTCTCGCCCCCGGGTGGTAGAGCTTGGTGCACGATGGGGATCCTAAGTAATTTCTGATGTGTCACCCTTCTTCCTGCAGATCTATCCTCCCCACTACCTTCTCCGCTCATCGGTTAGGCAGATCACTATCTACATTAATGCCCACACAGGGGCCTACCACAATATGTGTTTCTCATTTTAGTATTTTGTAATACTTCAGGTTTACTTGTGTTATTAGGTCTTGATTTTTTTGCAATGATTAATATAAATTAAATATTTGGTACGTCGTCTAGGCTACCGATCAAGTGGTGTCAACGGTATTCACACAGACTGAGCAAATGATCTATTCCTACTTTGATCAATTATCTCACAAGAACAACAAACAGTCTGGCTATGGTAGTATACTACAATTATATTCTATAGTTGTTTGTTAGGTGTTAGCAGTCGATCACACCTCAACTAATCAAAAATTAAAATAAATCACTTGTGCAGATGTATGAGGAAAAGGAAATAATAATGTTTGTATACGAGCACCAATTGGAACCTTCCCTTCCCCTGTATCCGACGATCTCGACTTGCATCATCAAGCAGTGGTGTCTAAGGTGTGCATTTCGGCTCACCCCGGTGCCGAAGAATCCGCTTATGACCAGTTCTGCCCTTTGTTTACCCTCGCTTGCAACGAGCCTTACATCCGATGAAATAAGAGCAGTACAATGAACTCGTGTGCCAATGTCGACGCTCTCTGGCCACACCAACGTAGTATCCAATGTCGCTCCTATAGTCTTGCGCCCAGCGCCCAGCCTACACTACTCAGCCTACCTACACCTTTCTACGTTTATCAACTGGATCGCATTGAAGTTGAAGACCAATGTACGTGACGTCATCACCAATGCCGACCGCCAGCAACCACCAGGTACGTTCCCTCTCTCCCCACCTCATGCGCCTTCTACCCAAAGACCACCATCGCCATCACCTGCACCCACACGCTCGGCCCGGATATGGCCGCCGTGCGCCCGCTGCCACCGCAGCGCCCTCTCGCCTCTTGCGCCCGCGTGCGTCCTGGCCTGCCTGCACAGCGCAGGGCGCAACCGCCTGAGCTCTGGGCTCAACTGTACAGTGCAGCTCTTGCTTATGGGAGAAGCCTCTGAAGGCTCACGTTGCTTTGTAACCAACTGGTGTGCTGCAACTGTCTGATACCCCACATATGAAAAATGTCGACAGTAGGCCTCACGTGGATATTCAGGCCTGCCCTCACTTAGGGCGGGCACAATGCTTGCTGGGGGCTGCAGCCCAGAACAGTTGCATGTCTGTAAGGCCCCCGCGAGGGCTCAGTCCTCGCAATAGTTTTTTCTACCAAAAAAATAATATAAACAGCTTTTGCCTTAGATAAAATAGTTTTTTTATTTTTGAAATTCGAAGACGAAGTCAAAAATAAAATAAGCTATTTGTGTAATGTAGATATTGAAAAGATCTACAACATCATATATATATATATATATTTTTAATAATTTTTTGAACCCTAAAAAAATTCCTGAAAGTCGCGGCAGCACCCCAACCGCAGGCGGCGGGTGGGGGTCGGGATCCGGACCGTGGGCCACCCTCGGCCCCGTGGTCATGACCGCAGGGGACACATAGCCCTGCTGTACAGCAATCTGCCCCTTGGCTATGTTGTCCTGTACTGTGGGTGTAGCACTGGTCCCTTAGCCTATGTACTGTAGGGAGGTGTGCCTTCCACCATTGCTGATTGGATCCAACCTCGTTTTTGGGGAGGCCATGTTGTCATCGACCAGTTAGTGAGATATTGCTGTTGAGTTGTTATCTGTCTTTGCTGGAGGTTGCTGATGTGCATATGATATGAGCTGGCTAGACGCTGGGTGAAGAGGGCTGGGCACTGGGGGGAGCAGGTGGAGGCGGGGAGCAGGGCAGACAGGGAGGAGGAGACCACGTG